GGAATGTGGTTCAAGAACAAACTATAAAATATGGATACGCAAAACATAATAACAACATCAAAAACTCGATTAAAGAGAAGGATATGTACTTGAAATTTGACCCACCAAACTCTTGCTACATAATTCATATCAATAAGTGGCCAGGAAAAATGTGAAATTCATTGTGATAGGATTGAGTTGGATTTATAGAATCATGGCTTCAACATTGGTTTAGGATTGACCGACTTTAATAGAATCATATCAAAAGGAATTAGAGCGTACAAAGTTCACAAAAAGAATGACATAACCATGTGATAGATGACATTGTGCATAGGAATGTGGTTCAAGAACAAACTATAAAATATGGATACGCAAAACATAATAACAACATCAAAAACTCGATAACACAATTTAAAAATTTCCATCAGTAACAACTAAAAAATAAAAAAAGTACCAAATTGTTTCATGGGTTGCATTGGCCCTCTCATGAATAAGGTCATCAAAGAGATACCCAGCAACCTTACTATGCCTGCAATGACACTATATTCGTACCAACTTCAAGAAGATTATTAGGAAATTAAGAGTATTTAATATCTGATACTAATTTAACTCTTATTTTTACAAGCATGAAAAAGTTGGAAGGAATACCATCACAATATCATCTCACCTTAAAATGTCTATAGTGTTTAATCTAAACATCAACCCACATAAGAAAACTAATTACAGACAAATTAGTAGACAATATCTAATCCAAAAAATTCATTGCGTAGTCAAAAGAGATCGCAAAGAAAATTAAGTAATTGAATAGGTAAAATTCATTGCATAATCAAAAGAGATCTCAATAACATCAGGCAATTGAACACATAATCAAATACTATAACAGTGGTTGGTGTCGTGAGCACTCACGGTTAATGTCTTGTCCCAAGCAAACTTAACCATCAATTATCTAACTTCACTGCCCCTAAGTGTAAACTTGAAGCTGCAAAAATAATCAAGCAAAAAAATCGATAAACTATAAATAAAATAATCCAACAGGACAAAAGAGAAACTTGAACATAATTTTGCAGGACAAGTAAATTAGTGAGATTGGTAGAGTAAATTGGATATAAAAAAATTTTGAAATCCAACATAAACCAAAGCCTCATGTCTCAATCTTCTGAAATCCAACATAACGGTTGAAAATCAATTCATCTTTATGAGAATGCACTAATTGCAAACAAAAAACAAATTTAGAACATGAAGAAAACAAATACCCAATAACATTTGATCATTTATACTCTGTATCTTATGAGATCTTTAAATAATTGTTTGAGGATAGAAGAGAAAAATATTTTTTTTTCTTTGTAAGATATGTTTAGAAGTAATATAGATGTAGATATAAATAGATAGACAAATATATATGAATTTATGAATTTAATATAAATTAATATTAGAAGGAAATTAAATGAAGGACTATGAAAGTGTAGGATATAAGAGGCATTAGTTTTTTTATTAAAGTTATTGAGGTCAATCAAAAAATTTTCACTTTTGTTGACATTTTATAATAGTATAGATATAGACTAGCAATGTAACACATGTTTTGCGCGTGGATAATTTTCTTATATAAAATATATATCTATACTACTTCTAAAAGGCTGCTAAATCAAAAAACAATCTTTTTCCGTAAATACCCTCTAACATTTGTATTATGCCACATTCATCCGGTATTTTTGATGATACAGCTTCCCAGTGACAGTTTGTCCAACATAGTAAAACATCAGGCCAAATGGGTATTCATTAGGATAAATTATAAATTAGCACCCTTAACTATGGGTACTGCTACAATTAGCTATTGTAGGTTTCAATTTCAATAAATTATTATTCCCTCAAAGTTTTCACATGAACAAATTTTATTACTTTTGACGGTTAAAAACTGACGGAATGTGTTAACTCAAAAATATTGAAAATTAATGGGAGAATGTTGTTGAAATTCAAACCTTAGAGAGTTAATTATAATAATATCCAAAGTTTAAGGGTATAATTTATAATTAACCCTATTTGTATAATGCCACATTCATCCGGTATTTTTTATGATCCAGCTTCCCAGTGACAGTTTGTCCAACATAGCAAAACATCCGGCCAAATGGGTATTCATTAGGATTAATTACAAATTAGCACGCCCAACTATGGGTCCTGCTACAATTAACTAGTATAAGTTTCAATTTCAATAAATTATTATTCCCTCAAAGTTTTCACATGAACAAATTTGTTTACCTTTGGTGGTTAAAAACTGACGGAATGTGTTAATTGAAAAATATTGAAAATTAATGGAAGAATGTTGTCGAAATTGAAACCTTAGAGAGTTAATTATAATAATATCCAAAGTTTGAGGGTATAATTTATAATTAACCCTATTTATTATCTTCTCCAAATAAATTGCCCCAGCCCACTCCAATTCCACTGCTCTCTCTTCTTCTACTCTTCTGAAACCCCCCACCCGCCTGCAAATAAATTCCCATAACCCACCCAAAATAACCTCTTTCTCTCTCTTCTTTCCTCCACCAAAAACCATCTGCCTTCCCTCTCTCTCTTTCTCTGCCGCTTAAAGCATGCGTTACTCTACGCATTCAAATCTCTCTTTACGGCATCTCAACGTCTGCAGCCATTGTTCCTGCCGCCTGTACGCATTTTGGGACTTAATGCATGAAGTTGCAATGCTTACATCAGATTTCAAATCACGCAATTTCAATACTCCAAACTGCCATTTGAATCACTCTACATGTTTTCCCTCTCTACATTGTAACTCAACACTCTGTCCGTCTACCGATCTCGAAACCAGCCGCTTATTTCTTGGTACATTGTTCTTCCACTGATATCTCCGTTAAGATTTTCTCTACTGCAAATACATATCTGTTTTTTATTTTAACATCATAACGGACGCCCATAACATTAAACTTTCACAGAAGAAATCCAGCGCAAACACCATGTGTATTGGCATCCGAAATCAATAGTGTGCTGCTCAAACAGGTACTTAATCATCGTACACTGAATTTCCTCGCTAGATCTGTATTGTTTATATTATTTGTTTATGCCTTTTCACTTATTCAGCATATTGTTTACACTTTTGTTGTTGATTGATGTACCTTTTCAATTTGTTTTGAATTATTTATTGGATTATAAATATTTTAATTATAAACTTTTTTCCTTTTTGTGTATAGTTTTTATTCATTTTTTGTATTGAAGTGGTTAAATGTCATACCATTATAGCATGAAGCATGCACACAAACTGTCTGACAATTTGGTTTTTATTCTTGTAAATTTGTTTTGTTCTAATCAGGTTTTCGTTTTGGTTGTGATTAGAATGTTTGATTTGTATTCTTGAATATTTGTTTTTTCTATAATGTTTATAAGTCTCCCTTTTTGGTTTTGATTGGGGGCATTGTTTTTTGGATATAGGCTAAACTATGCTTACTGTCCCTTAAATACTGTGTATGCCACCAATTCTATCTATAATAATTTTGTTTACTATTGACATACCATCGATTTTAACTTGGGGAATGGAAGTGATTGTAAAGCTTAGGAAATGGAAAAGGATTAATCTGTGATGCTTACAAGCACTTCAAACTGCTATAAGCTTCCCCTACGCATGGACTTAAAGCAAAGAACACAAACTAGGCACACATTGAGAACTACAGTTGATTAACCCACTGCTAAGGCCCAGCCTTTCAAGCCCACAATAAACATGTATATGTGGGTCACAAGCATGGAAATCCTATTTATGGTGTGAATTTTTTGGCAATGAATATGATAATTGGGTTTGTGTGGCTACTAAGTGTGTTGAATAGGAGGGAGATTTTGCATTATATGTCAAAAACTTTACCAAAACAAGTAAAATCACAAGTATATTAAAATTAAAATTACATATTATGCATTCAGTGAATTTTGATAATGAATTTCTCCATGGGATCGTTGAAGTGCCTAGGTGGGCGGTAGAACTATTGATGCTTACTGTAGTTTATCATTGCAGTCTTCTTAGATTATCTCAATCGTTTAATAGTTCAACTAAAATGTGACCTTTGTACCTGAGCATAAAAAGTTATTGATACCTTTGTTTACACAATATGATTTGAAAAAATTACAGAAATTATACATTATTTTGGACATTACTGAAACATATATACCCTTAGAGATTTCTATATACAAGTTTATGCGACAAGTAGACACTCTTTAACTAAAATTGATTGTAACCATCAAAAAAAAAAAAAAAACCCTTGCATTCAAAACCCAAAATCCAAACCTTTGAAGCTGAATAACTGAAACTTCAAAAAAATATCTACATATGTTGATATACATATTCACTCAAATGCATTTTAGGATATATTTCATCTTCTCTATAATCATTTCAATCAATCACATACGATCGAATTGAATCCGGACCTTAAATATTCCAAAAAAAATGAAAACAATACTATTTAAACTTGATATAAGTTCTAACAATATTTTTTGAAGCACTTATGATAATGTGTCAAACCTCATGCTACAAATGTGCTAATATAACAACAATGTTACATTCACACAATCAAAAGTTCAGCTATTCGTCGAACCAACAGTGGACAACATTTTTCGTAAGGGTGCACAAAATGGACGATAAAGACCGAGAAACAGGACGCTTTGTTGCACAAGAAGTAGAGAAAATTGAAGGCTCTGAAATTGGTGAAGAACCAGCAGGAAAACGACTGAAAAATCAGAAAGATTAATATTACACAACACCCGTAGAAAATAATTGTTCACATCATAGATGTAGCATGGATTATCCTCATGTTGTTTTAATGTTTTTTTGGATCAAACTCATGGTTTTATTGATTATTGCTTACACTTGATGCAAGCAACAATCTATTGTTTTTAGCAAACATTGAAACAATGTAAACTGTTGGTTTTTGGATGAAATTTAGATTATGTTTGCAACTGAAAATGCTTGAGAAGGGTTTCTTGTAACTTTTTCGAAGCAACAACTTCTAATTACAGGACATTGATATTTCACAATGCACCAAGCCTCTGCATCATCCAAACACAAAGTACAGCACACAAACATCTCAAATGCTAATTTCCTATTTATTTTCTTCAACTAAATTGCTCAAAATTTATTTATTTCAGGCTGTCTATGAGCATCACCCACGTCCAAAGCAACTGATTGGGGAGAATGATCTACCACAGAAGCTTCAAAATTTCATTGAGGACAGCAGAGATGGGCAGAGGGCAGAGTTCTGGTGGCCAAGTTTTGGTGAAGCAGATGGCCACTTCTTTGATTATATCAATTCTGTTCTGTGAAGTATCAGTGCTTATATCTATCTGTATATGATTTGTTTACAAGGGTGATGTATCTGGGTCGTCTTCAAAATATCAACAGCGAGATGCTTAAATATCAACTCACATGGCTTTATGTTCCTATGATGACACTATGCATCGGTTCCCATAGTTTCTTGGTCATCTTTAACTAGCATTTTTTCTATCATAGTATATTAGTATGCAGTGTCTATAAGAAGACTTTCATGCATCGCACTATAATATCAAAAAACAATGATATAGGAAAAAAATTTAAATAATTCAATTTTCAAATAATCAAACGACATGGTTCACGTGCAACGCACATGTGCATCAACTAGTTACTAATAAAAGTACCTTAAGTGAAAAAATTTTGATTTTCTATTTTACCCTTATAAAAAATTTTAAATAACACATTATCTTTTCATAGTTAAATACCTAAATTACAATCACAACTTTTGGTCTGTAAAGTAAGTTAGTGGTTTAAATGATTTATCCATATACAATCTATTAAAGTTTTATATAGAAGTGATCACAAGTTAGTCACATGATACAATCTGACAGCATGAGACGTGGTCACTGTCGTAAAAAAACTTAAGGCACCGTCAGGTTTAGGACTATTTAAACAAGAATTGAATATTTTATGAATTAAATTTATAAAATTTATATATTAAAGACGAAATTGACAAAAAAACGCGTACTTTAAAGACCCAAAGTATTATTAACCCTATATTTTATTCCAATTGACCTAAGAATATTGATAATTATTATTATTTTATTCACTGAATTATAAGTTGAAATCTAATCAAATGAATTATTTTCATTTTTTTTATTATAGTTAGAACAACAAATCTCTGAGAACAGACAATATTTTTCAAATTCTATAGTATAATACAAGGGATAAAAATATAATTTTTGATAAATTTGAGATGATATTTAATATAAGTACACATATATCTAATACCTTTTTAAAAATCTTTATAAGGGTAAAATAATGAATCAAAAAAATTTCACTGGAAGTATTTTTATAAGTAGTATAAATATAGATTCATGAACGTCCAATTATTCACGAAATGTAAGAAGTAAATGATTAATCATCTATTTCAAAAAAAAATCGAACATACAGCCCTTACAACCTTTACAAAAGGTTGGATTGTATCTCATTGGTGCTCACAAAGTTATCAATGATCACCAACTCAAATTCACGACCGCATGTTCCTTTATGTTCAGACCCAAAAAAAAAAATGTTCCTTTATGTTTCTTACGGCAAGTGACAGTTTGCCTCCTAAGCAATTTTAATTTTTAAAGACAAAAAGCATCACATCGAAAGTATAGCAATGTAAGCTATGCATTAGTCGAGATTTGGTTTTCGATTTTTTATTTATACCTTAATCCATATATCACCGCCAATCAATTTAATAACTGGTATATCAAATCTTAAATCACGACAGACCCAAATTTTTGTTTTTTCAGAAGTTGGATGATGGACTTCGATTCATGTTTTGGTAATGTGAATCTGTAGTGGAATAAGATTTTGCGGGGTTGTTATTTTTTCTTAAATTGTACACACCATTCAGCCATGCTACTAGTATAGAAAACGAGTGAAATTGTGATGAGTTAATAGATTTAGCGTATCAATAAACAATATTAAAATGGCAAGTCGTGTTGTGTAACCTGTGTAATAAGCGAGTCGTATCCGGATTTGACATTTTGATCCGTTTAAATAAATGAATAGTATGCGTTTACACCCAAAAAATAATAAGATCAAAGGATGATACGTAGAAGAGATCTGACGGTTACAAGACAGACCGTTAAAGTCCACAATTAATAAGATATTAGAGGAATAGGACTCTTCAAATTCCGAGGACTTTCGTGGCCAAGTAATTATTGGCTATAAAAGGGTCTGCCAGGCAGTGACCAAACGGGAGAGAAGGGTGGAAAAAGAAGAGAGTGGGGGAAGGGGAGTAAAATGGTCAAAATTTGGTCAACGGATAAATTCAACCATACGATCAACGAAAAAGGTAAGGTTTTTGGGTTATGAATTACCAACTTCATAGGTTCAATTTAACAAGAAATTACTTGAATTTGATCCTCATTAAATATATTTGAATCAAATTTAAATGTCGTTAAAAATTATTTTTTATTGAAATAAGTCATAATTACTTAATTTTATAATTATTCTAAAATATTACTCGGTATTGTTTTGACATAGTGCACAATCTCAATACGAGATAAAATCAGATGTACGGGGGTGTTATATATTTTGTTTTTTGTCTTTCAATCTCTTTGTAAAATGTGTTCTTTTGAACAATTAAAATTTGTATTCTTGATGATTATTTTCGGTTAAATAAAATTCTGAAACATTTGTTGAATTGACTTGTATTTTTCACTAAACACTTTATGATTGATTGGTACATGTAAGTAGTGTACTTTGAGTATATTTTATAAAATATGAATATGACCCTACAGATTTTTGATTATTTCATATGACTAGATTTATATGCCCAAGTGTTTCTTGTCATTTCATCAAGATGAATCGAATATGGACTATGTTTGATCATAGTTGAGATGTGACATGTCGAATTTAATTATTGATTTTGTCGTCCATGGTTGTCTATCGATTGATTTATTTGGTCTTTGATCATTTCTATTGTTACCATTGACCTTACTATTTCTTGTTGTGTTGTATATTTTCCTGCTTAATTAAATTTTCAGGTTGATTTTGGAGCAAACATTGTGATTGGAATATTTGAGAAACGAAAATGGACGAATTTTGATATAATTTTTATTATATTGAAATTAAAAATTTTATCAATCTTGGAAGATCAAATTTATAATTATAATTTTTATTGAGGTAATTAAAGCTTTGCCTAGTATATTTGAGAGATATTTGTAGAATTTTATCAATTGATTTATCAAGTAATACATCTAAAAAACCGGGGTGTTAAACGGAGTTCTTGGATTTCTTCCAATTCAAGCTCAACCACAATCAAGGTAAGCTTCTAATCACTACCAGGAATTCATTTGAGGTGTTTGATATGAGAGTCCACTAGTTTTGGGTATAGGAACTTGATTTAGGGGTTAGATTTGTGAAATATTGAGATTTGGGGGTTGAAAAGTCAAGTTGTAGGTTTTGTTTTTGGCTGAGAAATGGGTTTCGATCCAACCTTGACTCAGATTTTGTAAAAATGGTAGGGTTTTTTTTTTTTTTTTTGATAAAAACTAAGGTTGGGGATTGAAAGTAGTATTGAAAAGGAGTAGGTCAGGCACTTGAATCACCCACTTTGGAGTTGATTTGAAGGAGAAATGGTTGGGTGAAGTTGGTAAAAAAGCTGAATATTCTAGTTCCGTAGATTGTCTTTGACCAGATCGAAAAGAAGATAAGTCGAGTTACGCGTAAACTAGTTGTTCAGACACTCTTAATCATTGAACAAAAAAAAAAAAAAAATTTAATTAGCCACCATCCACCCAAGGAAAAAACACCATCATATACAAGACGAACATATTCCGCGCATACAATTACAATATTTGTGATTTTATTCCCACCATTAGAAATTAGTATAAATCTAGGGTATTCAAAAAGCATTTTTCAGTTTCATATCACAAAATATAATTTTTTAGGATCAAATTATAATGTTTTCAATTGGTTGGAATCGAACCTACCATTTTAACATTGAGTCTAAATGTAAGAATCGATCCCAATCACCCACAAAAATTATAATAAATACTCAAAAGAGTATAACTTGATTTCAAAAGGTTTTTTTTAATATCAATCTTGCATTTTAAGAATTGATTTTAATTTTTTTTTAATGCAATTAGACACCAAAAAATTTTGACTGAACTGACAAAAATTTTAACCTTCGGTATGGTGTCTTCTTTCGTACCGTAACCTTATTTGTCTCTCACATAATGCAGCCCTAACTCAATTAAATTAGTGAAAATTTATAATGAGTTTAGTTCGTCAAGAAAATTTATTTGGGGATAAGTTTATTTTTAATCTTACTAATAATAAGTAGTTAAGTTTACTATTTTTTTAAAACTCTAAAATACCCTTCTTTGAAAGCAATTTTAAATAAGTTTCCTAACTTGACAATTATCATCCCTTAATTCACTATTAATGAAGATATGCCAATAAATTTTTTTACATAAATTTAAAATTTCAAATTCAAAAAATAACTGAAGCCAATATTATCCCTTAAAATTTAATTTTTTAAAATGTAATTTTTTTTTTATTTTGAATGTTACTATTTTTTTTTTGAATATTCCATGTTACTGTTTTTGTGAGCATGTTACTGTTTTCGTTGAGCTTGCTACTACTGTTGTTTTTCTAAATATTGATACTCAATGTTGTTATTTTTGTTTTTTTTTTGAATATTCATTTTTTTTGTATTTAAATGTTACTATTTTTTTTTTGTTTAAATAATACTATTTTTTGTGTTTGAATGTTACTTTTTTTTTTTTTTTAATGTTGCTATATGTGTGTGTGTGTATATGATAGAGATAAATAAATAGTCATATTCTATGTATGGATATAAATATATATAAGAAAGAAAAAAACAAAATTTAATGTTAGTCAACTCCTAAAATTTAGGAGTTGTTAATTTTCAAATTTGTTTTAATTAAAGATAACTATTATAGGTATTTTGGACAATAGAGATCAAAATTGACTTAATATAAAACAAATTTCCTTGATGGACTTATCACCAAAAAAGTTGGAGCTAGTTTATTCATTTTCTAAAGGATCGGCCCCACCACAAAGCTTGGGTTTTTGGCCCCATATTCCACCAATGTCTTAAAATTTGCATTGTATAGTTATAGGGCAAATAAAAAAATTTAGATCCATAAGATTTTAGATCTCCTAAAAAAGCTCTATAAATTTAAATTCAATCAAAAATAAATTTGAATAATTTGGAAACCCAACACATAATATTAAAATGGTTAATAGTATTTTTGGTCCAAAAAATATGTATTTTTTATCAGTTTTGTCCTCATTGTATCAATTTTCT